GTTCAGAGTAGAGCAGGGCCTTAGCAGCCAACAGCTGTTCTCCTGGGCCTTGTGTGAAGTCAGAGTCCTCAGAGGGCTAATTTGTTCTCCCCCCATCCCTCAACCCTGCTCCCTCCTGTAACCAGCCCTCAAACGAACCTTTCCCTGCCTCCTAGGAAGGGACTGACCTTTGTCTCTGTGCACGACTGCTTCTGGACACATGCCTCCACTGTGGATATCATGAATGAGGTGAGTGACCTTCCCTGCTGTGCTTATAGGTGCTGAAGTGGAGGGGGAAGATTGCAGGAGGCCACTAGCTGCTCCTGTGCTGCCCCCAGTGATGCTGGCAGTCAGCCTCGCTGTGGGAGGCCCAAAGGGAATTCACACATAAAAGGGGAAGGGGGCTAGACAAGTTCTGAGGTCTCTTCTGTTTGGAGAGTCTGTGAACTGCCTTTCCCCCATCTCTTCTTTCCCTCTGGGTCCTCAGTAACCAGGGCAGGGCCTCAGAGGCTAGGTGGTATGTTTCTTTCTGAAGCCAACTCCAAGGTAGCAGGTGCCTCAAGAGTCCAGAAGCCCAGGCGAGGACTGCTCTGGGTCCCCTTGGCACCGTTGCTCTGATGAGGCTGAGCAAGGCTGGGCCACAGTCGGGGTGATCTCTGTTGGGGGTGGGGGAGTCTCTCAGCTGGGAATCTCCTCCATTTCTCCCCCCATCTGAAAGGGACAGGAGGGAAACTGAGGCTTCAGTTTTCTCCTGCTTTCCAGGTCTGTCGTGAACAGTTTGTGAATCTGCACAGTCAGCCCATTCTGCAGGAATTATCTCGGTACCTGGTACAGAAATACTGCTCTAAGTTCCAGTGAGTAACCACTTCCCCACCACTCTTCCTCCCAGTGGCCAGGGGGCCTCTGCTGACGAGGAAAAGACTTGCTCAGTCTCCTCAGCTTTAGCCTTCTCCAGGGGATTAAGAGGGCAGCTGGACAGGAGACGTGGCATCGGGACTCTGCTCCCTCGAGCTGCTGGACCCGATGACAGAGTCCCAGCGGTCCCTGAGGGATCACCGAGGCAAGCATCAGCCCAGCATGGGGAAGGGGTTTGCCAAGTCGAGGCAGAGCCCAGGTTTCTGCAGTGCTTTCCTCTTCACCCCAGCTGCTGTTCAACAGTGTTTCCTGGTGGAAAACCAAACCCAGACTACTCTGGACTCTTTCCCCTTGCAGTGAATGTTTCTTCATCTGCCCTCTGCCTGTCTCGTTGCTGTCCTTAGTGGTCTCCTATCAGGATTCCCTGAAAACCCTGCCCCTTGGGTTTCAGGCCACTTGCTGGTCCTGCACTGATGGTTGGTCATTCTCTGACTGTTGATTTTTTCCCTCTGGGCTTTGATTTTAGGTCTCATGATTCTTCTAAAGAAATATCCGTCACAGAGAAGTTGATGCTAAGGACGCTGTCTCATGTGCCTGAAAGAGGTAGGAAGGCCAGATGGGCCTGTGGCCTGGGATGGGGTGGGGAGGAGAGGAGCTGGGCCTTCCTAGGCTCCCAGGGATGAGATGAGCCCATCTGGCCACCTCCATCCTCCCTCACTTGCCCCCAACCCATCTTAGCAGAGCAGAGCCCCAAGGATGAAGAAGAGGCATTGTGGGTAGTATGTGGGGCTGCCCTGAATCCCGCAGCAGTCTTCTGCCACTTGAGAACCTCTAAATTGGTTCATCCCCTTCCAGCTCTATCCTGCTTCCCATGCCCTACCCCCTCCAGGCGAGACCCCACTCACCCTGCAGAGAGGCTTTGGCTTCAGCCCCATAGCCTGTGCCCTGAGTCTCACACACAGGGCCTTTGTGCATGAACACCTGGGAAGGGAACCCAGGACTATCGGCCTGCAGCCTCACCCTCCATTTCCCCCCTCTTGACAGCTCGTCTCTCCGGGGATGTTGTGATGAATGGTAGAAGGGCCCCGGCTCCACTGACTCATTCTTTTCTCCATCCTTCCCTTAGGAAATTTTGATCTACAGAACGTGAAGAAATCCACCTACTTCTTCAGCTGAAGATGGCTCTGAGCATGCCAGACACCCAGGGTTCAGAGGGCCCTTGCCAGGAGTGTCCCTGCATCTTGAGGCCTCAGGGGTTTGGTCCCTCCTGGTCTGTGCCTCTCGGGCCCTCTCTGCCCTGATCCTCCAAGAGTCCATCCTGCCTCCAGCCAAGGCCGAGCTGAGCTGGCAGTGAGGGGCTGTGTCCCCTTCCATTGTCAGCACTCAGACTGGCAGTGGTTGGGGCGGGGGGGTGGCTCACAAGAGTGCTCCTGGGGCTGTTTCCCAGCCTTAGCTGCATGAGCCTCCCAGCTCTTTCAGCTGACCTCCCAGAAAATACTGGGGCCAGGCCACATTCCTTACTCACTTATCAGCCTCCTGACATGCCCCCTCCCCCCTCCAGCTGAGTACCAGGGGGCCCATGTCCCAGGGGAATGATGGTTCTCCAGACCTGCTGAGGAGTTGGGACTAGACCGGAGCCCCCTTCTTCCAGGAGGACCACAGGATTTTCCATACTTTTACCTATTTGTCCATCCTGAGCATCCAGAAATCTCTGGCCCATGTACAGTAGTGTAAATAAAAAGCTGTGAACCTAGTGAGGGTGCTTGCTGTCTCAAGGACCATCTGTGGATAGGCAGGGGAAGACTCCCCCAGCCCCAGAGACCTCCGCTTGCAGGTGGGGGCTGGGGGGAGGGGAGAAGCACCACTGAAGATCCTGATCTGACCTGCTGCTGTCAGAATGGAGATTTCCCAGATGGATCAGGGGAAGAAGCGGAAAACAAGCCAATACAGAGCCCAGCTTTTCTAGGCCTCTTCGTCTATTGTCACTAGCTCAGAAGAAATTGCTTCCTCTATTCTTGTCTGTCTTCCCAGTTCTCCATTTCACACTGAGCAATGTGGTTTAGGGCTTTCAGCATTTTGTGTGGAGAGCGGGCAGGGGCTTCAGTGCGGGAGGGAGGTTGCCTCTGTAGTTGGGGCTGCTTGGATTCAGGGCCCATAGACTTCCCTGCTGCCTCCCCAAAGCTGCAGGGCTGGTTAGGGAAGGTGTTTGAGGTATAGACTGGCTGCACTGTAATCTGAGCCTTGGATCACGGGAGATGGGACAGTGGAACCCAGCCCCCTCTGCCTCTTCTGCTGTCATGTGGACAAGGAGACTGCTGGGCAGTAGAAAAGGTGACCTTTCTCCTGCCTGTAGTAGAGGGTATTGGCCTAGACCCACCCTACGTTTGAACAGTCCGGGCTTAGAAGCCTTCCCTCCACTGGAAAAAGCTGGAATGGCCATGCCCCTCTAGGAACTGGAAGGAGAGCAGCCTGGGCCTTAAAGCAAGCCCTACCTTCCACAGGAGCTGAATAGCAGGAGTCTGTCCCTGCCCCCAGTATTGGGGGAGAAAGTTTATTAACAGAAATAGCCTCCAAGGGCTTTAGTGAAATTTGGCTGACATCCCCTGTGAGCTCTGAAGGAAGACAAGGCTGTCCAGGGCTCGAGCTAGCCTCCAAGGTGAAAAATCTTGGAGGATAGCCCGGCCTCCCCTTTCCCACAGGCCCACAGACTGGCACCAGGGCATCTGCCTGGGCAAAGGGACTCCTGTCTCTGAGTGCAAGGGGGACCAGGACACCTGCTGTCAGCTGTGAGCTGGGTACTGCTGACTCCAGAGGTTGGTGGTGGGGCCCTTTGCTCACCAAGAAGGTGGAGTGGAAAAAGACACCAAGGAAGTAGAATGCAACTCCTTCAAGCCTCGCCTGCACACCCACAGAAATAGAGAAAGGGAGTCTCCAGCCTGGCCTTGTCTGCAATTATCTCATTCTGTAGGGTAAGCAGAAGAGGAGGCCAAGGGTGGGCCAGGGTAAGAAAGAAGCATGGCTTATTTGAATCCAAAGAGCTGAAAATCTAGTCCAGAGGTTCTTACCCTCGTGTTTGTGCACTTCAAGAAAAAAGTCATTTTCATAACAATTTCGATATAATTGGTTTCCTTTTCTAATCCTATATATTTTATGTATTTGAAAACATTCTGAGAAGGGGTCTGTCAGCCTCCCCAGGCTGCCAGGAGACAGACAAGGTTAAGAACCCTTCAATCCAAGGGCTCTTATAGACCGAGAGACTGGAGGAATTTGTCCCAGATAGTACAGGTAGGAAAGTAGCAGAGATGGAGGGAGGGAGGTTGTTGAACCAAATGCCTCCGAACACGCAAGTTGCCAGGGACGCCTTCCAAGAGCCCTTCCTTCCTAACCCAGTTGGAAGTCACTGGTCCCATCCAAGACAGAGAATAGCTATTTATGGAATCTGGGGTTTGAGACTACAAGGGACTTTACAGATCACCTGCCCCCAGAGGTGTCAAACACACACATGGCCCACAGCATGCCAGATTAAAGTGTAATTGGGGGGCAGCTAGGTGGTACAGTGGATAGAGCACCGGCCCTGAAGTCAGGAGGACCTGAGTTCAAATCTGGCCTCAGACCAAACACTTGACCCTTACTAGCTGTGTGACCCTAGGCAAGTCACTTAACCCCAGTTGCCTAAAAAGTTAAAAAAAAAATTAAAAGTGTAATTGGGAAATATTTCACAAAGCAAATTATAAGAAGAGAAATGCATAAACATAGGTGGTTTTCCAAGTCAATGTGCAGCTCACAGGGACCCTTCCGTAGGGTTTAGTGGCCCCCTGTTCTGTTTGGAGTTTGCTGCCCCTGATCTAACCCAAGCCCCTTTATTTGACTCATGGGGGAGGCTCACCCATCTATCCACTGTACATTCAACTCTTTCCCCCCAGCCATGCTATAGAGAGAGGTAGATGGTTGCAAGTGTTTGGCCCTAGGTGATTCTTCTTCTTTAATGAGTGTCAAGTGTTTGGTCTAAGGTCAGATTTGAACTCAGGTCCTCCTGACTTCAGAGCCGGTGCTCTATCCACTGCGCCACCTAGCTGCCCCCTAGGTTTTTCTTCTTGAAGGGACAAGGGGTTGGCATCATGCCCCCACCAAGCCAGGGATTGGAGGAACCAGACAGAGGCCTAGGCTGCCAATGCACTGATGTTTATTGCACAGGATGGGGTGAGAGTGGAGTAGGGGTCTCCCGCAGGGGCCCCGTCAGGTTAGTTGGAGACGACTTGAGAGTTGCCACTTTTTGTCCCATTACCAGTTATACATTCAACAGAATGGTAGCAGCTGGATGGGGGAGGGAGTGGAAAGTGATGCCCATCTGGGGAGGGGGAAAGCCTCAGTCAGGGGCCCTTTGCCCACCAAGAAGGTGGAGTGGAAAAAGACAGGCTGCATGATTAGACAGGCTGAGTGATCTGATAAAAACTCAGTGTGGGGTGAGGACCCCAGAGCTAAAGACCCCTGCCCCCCGCCCTCACTCCAGACCAGGGGTTATTCTCCCCACTCCGGGAAAACACAGAGGTCCTCCACTCATCCCAAAGTCCCAGAAGACATCTCCAGGGGAACTCTCCAGACTCCCCCGCCCCCTTGTCCTGGGCCCTGAGGGAAGGTGAGGGTCTCTTTGGCTGGGAGCCAGCTGGCTGCTGCTGCTTTTTCACTTCCCACTGGCAAGTCTTAAGGGGAGCCCATTTTGTAAATGAAGGAAAAAACAGGGGGGGGGACAGGCTTAGCCAATACTCCCCAGAGCCAGACTTCATAACCCCAGCATTGCTAACCCAACCTCAAGCTTTACCCCTAAGCCACCTTCTCCTACCCATGGGGCTCAGACCCCTGAGCCATCCTATCTCCCCATGTCCCCTGAGCTCCAGTATGGCCAGGCTGTGGATTCTGAATTCAGGACATGCAGACGAGCACGCACACGCGCACACACACACACACCTACACACACCCCAGGACAGACAGTGCTTGTGCATGTCCAAATACACACACCAGGACAGACAGCATAGACCACACGCTGCCCAGAGGACCACGTGCCCTAGGCAGGATGACTTCCACAACCTTAGTGTCCGGGTCACCAGGCAAAGGAAGGGGCAGTGGGAAGGCAGGGCAGCAGCTCAGCTGGGCTGGACACTACGCTTTAACAACAAAAAAACCCAAACAAACAGGGACGTGGACCTAGGAGAACACACACCAGGGCAAGGGGGCCTCTGCAAAGCTGCCTGACCTCGATGTCCCTGGAATAATGGGACAACCCTGGCCTTGTTTGGGGTTTCTGGGAAGAGATCCAAGGGACAGTAGCCAGTGGACCACCACCCCTTGAGGATCCCCAAGCACCTACCCTAGGAGAGGCAGGGTAGCATTCTCCCCCCATTTTACAGATGGGGAAACTGAGGCACAGAGGTGACATAAGCCCCCCTAACCTTGATGCCGAGGGTGGCTCAGAGGAGAAAGGAAGGAAAGCAAGGGGCCAGAGTCCCTAACATCTTGAGAAGCAGGGATGAGAGTGGAGAACTGGTAGGAGGCCCCTTTTCCATTGTTTAAAATTATGTTTTATTTTTAGAGGAACAGGAAACCTATCAGACTAGGTCTGATAGGCAACATAGCACAATGGGAAGACCCCTAGTCTTGGACTCAGTTCAAGTTAGGGCTTTGCCACTCCTGATGGGATGACCTTGTATACATCCTTTCCTTTCTGTGAATCTCAGTTTCCCCATTTTAAAAAATGGGGTGCTAGCTAGTCTCTTAGGCCCTTCCCACTCTGACATCCTATGTTCTAGGGTCGCTTCCAGCTCTGATAGCCTATGTTCTACTTTCTACAGTTTATTCTATATCCTATAGTTCTCTAGGAGAGGCAAAGCAAGGCCTCAGTGCCAGCCTGGGGAAGGACAGAGGGACCTGGGAGGCACAGATAAGCCTTCTCTCTGATGAACCAGGAGTGAGATGTATGGGGATGGGAAGTCGGCGGGGGCTGGGGAGAGGGTTACGTGAAGAACTTAGCCATCGCCTACCTTGCCTGAGCTCAGGCCCCCTCACTCACACAGACACACACAGACGGACACACACGGATGTCTATGCTAAAGGTCTATGGCTTCTATGATGCAGATAAGAGAGCAAAAGCTCTCTTGAACGTCAGCAGGAATGAGACAGGGCTTTGGTCTTGGATGACAGGACTGAGCCAGGCTGAGGAGGGGGGGCCCAGGTCCTGGTCCCCCCAGAAGCTCCCCTCTGGGTCACCTCAGTCCTGGGGAGGTGAGGGAGAGAGGAGGCAGTGAATACCTCTGCCCCAACCTGGCCCCAGCTATCAGCCCCATCCTAGGCCCAAGCAAGGGTCACAAGTTGGAAGACAGCCTTGATCTGGCTGAGTCCACTTCGTGAGCGCTGGCAGCAGAATCCTTTCGGGTGGCCCCTGAGTCCTGGGCTGGGGCTGGGCCTGGGCCTGCATACACGGAGCCACTGGACAGCTGGTGTGGCAGGGCAAGGCGGGTTGGGCCAGGTCCCAGGCGTGGAGTGGAGCTGCTTGCTTCCCGGGAGGTGCTGGGTGGGGGGCCAGGGGTGGGGCCTGAGGGCTGGGGCAGGGATGGCTGGGAGGCAGACAGAGGCCTGGACTCATGGCTCAGGCAGGGCGTGTGCAGGGCTTGTGTGCTCTTGTGGGCAGCGGGCCTCTGGGGTGAGCCTGGGGCTCGGGCAGGGCCTAGTGAGAGCTGGGAACCTGACTCGCCCTTGGCCCCATATGGGAAGGTCCGGCTAGCCCGTGGGCTCTGTGAAGGGGGACTGGCCGTGGCAGGGGGAGGAGGGGGCTGAGGAGGTGGAGGGGCTTGGAAGAGAATGGGCGAGACTGAGAAGGGACTGGGGACAGCCTGGGCGTACATCATCCGGGGGGAGCTCAGTGCCAGGGGACCCACCAGAGGGCTGGCCATCTGCGGGCAGAAGCTCATAGCGACCGCCTGCTGCAGAGTGGCGATGGCCGAGGTGACCTGGGGCTGGGCCGCTGGGTAGAGCCCAGGATGCTGGCCCAGTTCTGCCTGCTGCACCATCTCCCGGTCATACTTTACAATCTCCTGGATAATCTCATTCTCCTGGTTGTTGAAGACACCTGAATGCAGGTCATGTTGGACCTTGTGCAGAAGGATTGAGTTCTTCTTGCCTGGGAGGGGAGGACAGAAGGGGTGGGGGTGAGGACAGGAGGCCCCTGGGGAACTGTCCCCAGCTCCTCCTGGGGCAGGGCAACATCACTCCATACAGTACCCAGGAGGCAGGGGATTCAGGGAACAGTAGACCCAGGTTCAAATGTGACATGTCATAAGTCCCTGGGAAAATCCCTTTGCCTCTTAGGGACTAATCTCTCCTCTGTAAGATTATGAGAATGAAGTACACGATCTCTAAGGGCCTCCTCCCCTAACTCTGACATTCTGTGTTCTAAGAACCCTCCCAGCTTTGACATCCCGTGTTCCCAGGACCCTTCGACATTCTGTGTGCTGAGACTCCTTCCATTATAGACGTTCTTTAGTGGCTCTCCTGTTTCTGACATCTCATGACCCTCAGACTCTTTATCTCCTGACCCCCCTTATTCTTCCCTTCCCAGCCCTCCCTCCCTTGGCTCTCTACTAACCAATCCGGTCGAGCCGGTCAATGGCCACCGTCTCGAAGGCCCGCCTCATCATGGGATACTCCTCTAGCACTTCATTAAAGTTGTCCACACTCAAGGAGTAGAGGCGGCAGTAGGTGTCAGCCCGGACACTGGCCGTTCGCCGGCCCCGGGTCAGCAGGCAGATCTCTGCGGGGGCCCCAAGACACTGTCAGTGTGGGCCTTCCCATCCCTTCCCATGCCCCCTTGAGCCCAGGTCACTCCCAGCTGAGCCTCAGACCTAATGATGGAGGAGACTGGGGGAAACGAGGCTGATGGTACCCCGGTATACCCTGTGGTAGAGCCACCCTAAAGGTCCCCAGGAAGCATAATACAACTTCTACTTTTTTTTTTTTTGCTGAGGCAATCAGGGTTAAGTGACTTGCCCAGGGTCACACAGCTAGTTAAGTGTCAAGTGTCTGAGGCCAGATTTGAACGCAGGTCGTCCTGACTCCAAGGCTGGAGCTCTGTGCACTGCGCCATCTAGCTGCCCCTCACTTCTACTTCTGAATGTCCCAGGGGATGGGCCTCTGGAGCCCTGCTGGATGGGAAAACTAGGAGAAGGAGCCAGGCATGGGGCAGGGACTGAGATGGAGGCCAAAACCCCCAACTCCAGGCTGAGCCCTGGTGATCTCATGCTTCTGAGCCAAGAGAAATAGGGAGCACCCGGTGGTAATAGGATGTTGCAAGGTGCATGGAAAACCCACTCTTGCATACCTCTCTTGTCGTCATTAGGGTTGGGAGTTCAGGCCTGGCAGGACGTAAGGGCCACTCTAGATGCCAGTTCCTGTTCCCTCAAGTTTTGTGGACAATTCCGGGACAACTTTTTTTAGAGGGGAAGAGGGAGGTTGGTACATTGGTCCAGTCAGGGAAATGTGTGAATTCTTCAGGCTCGAGATGTATTAAAAGAATTCCAGATCCCTTCTTCATCTCCCTTTTTTTCATGAATCCTCTGTATCCCTACTCCCCCATTAGAGGGTAAGGTACTCAGGAGGAGTATTTATACTCCCCAGAACTGGGCACAGTGACCTGTAATGCAGCAGGTGCTTAACAAATGTTGGCTGAATAATAATAACTCACATTGACAGAGAATGCTTTGAAGTGCTGTCCTCACAACAACCCTGTAGGGTATGGAATGAAATTATGACTCCTCCCAATTTAGAGATGATTAAACAGGGCCAAATGACCTTGCTTCACAAAACTAGCTAGTAATATGAGACAGGATTCAAACCCACATCTCTTGACTCCAAGCCCAATGTGCTGACTTCTATACTATGCTGTTAAATAATAATTATTATTATAGCTAGCATTTCAAGGTTTGCGAAGCATTTTACAAATATCTTCATATGGGAGGTAGGTGTTATTATAATCCCCATTTTTCAGATGAGGAAACTGAGGAACACAGCAGTTAAGTAACTTGCCCAGGGTCACTCAGCTAGTAAATGTCTGAGGCAGGATTTGAACTCAGGTCTCGCTGACTCCAGGCCCAGCACTCTATCGATACACTGTGCCACCTAGCTATCTTTGAATTGAAGTTGTACGGACGAATGAACCCTTAAGTTATATGGAGGAAGGAAACAGAAATGATTACTAATAACTAATAATTAGTAATTAATTTTTAATAATTACTAATAACTAAATTCAGGGAAATTCAGAGTTCCCCTTTTTTTGTTTTCAAGACCTCCAGACTTCTCTATCTGACCCAACCCAACTCTACAAGGAATCTCTAATCTCAGCTTGGGTGGAGACAGATCCCAAGGCTGGGGGTGGTCTGAGTACAGAGATAGTTTTTCTGTCCTAGAGTGACAGGATGTCACTCTCAGCCCTTCATTTTGATATAGCTCACCTTCCATTGTGTTATCCAGTCAAAGTCGATTGCCACCCCTCAGGAACACCTACTCTTAGAAGGGTATATGAATTGTGAGCCAGTCACCATGATTGTCTTTGGTCTAAGAGCCAAATGACCATCCTTTCATTAAGAACATGCTGGCCTTATTAATAAAATGATTAAATTATCCAGAAACTATGTCTCTGAACTTAATCATCACAAGGGTTTGGGCTCAAGGTCAAAGAAATCTGTCCCAAATGGAACACAGTGGAGTGAAAGGTCACTGTCTGAGGACAGGTTCATACAGAGGCTGAAGGACCCCACACTGGGGGTGTTAAGAAGGGGAGCCCTGCTCCTGTCACAACAGATGCCTTCTCAGATCTTTCATCTCTCAGATTCTATGTTACAGATGGGCACCTTGTTCCTTAACAGAAGAAAGACCTTTCTAAGGATCAGAGCTGCCCTATCCTGGGATGGACAGCCTCAGGACAGTAAATGTCCCAACCCTGGAGGCACCAAGCAGATGGACCTCTGGAGGTCTGGCCTGGAGGTTAGCAGTCCTCTGAGGGCCCTCCTCCCCCAGCCTCAGGGTACTCGCTGTGCTACCCTCCTGCAGGGGGTGGCCATGCCCAAGGGATACGGGACAGGGGGGGCTGCCCCTAGACTCCCTCCAGGGAACACTCACCCCCAAAATAGGAGCCATCTGACAGCTTCATCTCCTTGTTGCCCTTGGTGAGGACGCTGACCACGCCGTGCTGAATGAAGTACATTTTCTTGCCAATGGTGCCCTCACGAATGATATAGTCCCCGGGCTGAAAGACCTCAAATTTGAGCTTGGTCAGCATAGCTGTGACAAAGTTGGGGTCTGCATTGGCAAAGAGAGGCATAGAGGCCACCAGCTTCCGACAGTTGAAGTTCACGATCTCCTATGGGCATGAAGAGAGAGGGGGGCGGTCATCAGAGAGGGCAGGGGGAGTATGGCCTTGGGTTCATCTAAGGCGTGGAGGTGGGAATCAAAGCTAGCCAGGTGGCACAAGAGGAGGAAAGGTGGGTAGACAGGGGCTGGGGGCATTCAATTTAATTCAAGGAGAATGTATTCAGGGCCTGCTAAGCACCAGGCATAGAGGATACAAAGACAAGGAAAACCCCTGCCCTCAAGATGCTTATAGTTTACTGAGGAAGAAAGGGAACCTGACAGTATATATACAGACAAGTTAATACAAAATATGGGGGGAGGGTCTAGGCCTGGAGTTTCTTTGGTATAAGTAATCCTAGATGAGGAAAGTCCCTCCAACAAGGCAGGTCCGTACCTTCTCTGTAACTAATGGTCTGAGAGCAGTTCTTCTCAAAGTGTGCTCTGGGGACCGTGGGAGGGCTCACAAGCCCCTTTCAGGGGGTCTATGACATTAAAATGATTGTCATAATAATACCAAGACATTTTAATTTCTAGTATGGTAAATATCGACAGCTATAACCCATCTAAACAAAAGTTCTTGGGGAAGGGTCCTCAATACTTTTTAAGAGAGTAAAGGGGTCCTGGGACCCAAAAGTTTGAGAACCACTGTCTCAGAGAGTTGCCTAGGGCACTGAGAGGTTGTGTCTTACCTAGGGTGACACAGTCAGTAGATGTCCAAGGCTGAACTTGAACCCAGGGCTTCCTAGTTCCCCGTGGAGCTCTCTATCCATTATGCCGCACTGCCTGCCCCTTCCCCCCCCCCTCCATATACACACACATACATACATACATATTATATATATATATATAATATATATATATATATATATATATATATATATATATATATATATATTCAAGTAAATACAAATGGGTTTCTTTTTTGGAGGGGAGGTACTCTTTCAACTGGGGGGACTCAGGAAAGGCATCCTAGAGGAGAGGCACCTACACAGAACCCTAAAGGGAGCTGGAAGTCCCAGTAGGGGTAGGTGAGGTGAGCAGAGAGAGCCTTTCTGGCCCTGGGGGACTGCCTGGTCAAAGGCAAAGAAAGGGAATGGGGAAGAAGTCAGAAGCAGAAGGCAGGATGGATGAAAAGAGGAAGGGCTAGAGAGAAAAGAGCCCTGGGCTATGAGTCAGTCCAGACAATCAGGGTTTGAGGCCGAGGAGTCAGGAAGACTTGAATTCAAATCTGACCTCAAATACCTGTGACCTGGGCAAGTCACTTCACTGTCTGCCTCACTTTCTTTAACTGTAAAATGGGTTATAATACACTTACTGTGTGTGACCCTGGGCAAGTCACTTAACCCTGATTGCCTCACCAAAAAGCAAAAACAAAATAAACAAACAAATAAATAAACAAGCAAACAAATAAATAAATAAAAATAAGTAAATAAAAATAAAATGGGTTATAGTAATAGCACTTACCTCCCAGGCTTGTTGTGAGGATTATACGGGATAAAAACTAAAGTGTTATTATCAGCACAGTGCCTGACATCTAGTAGCTGCTGTATAAATGTTAGCTATTATAGTATTGTTATTATTATTATTTTTTATTATGAGCTCAGCTGTATGGCCTCATTCAAGTCGCTTTACTTCTTAGCCTGGTTTCCTAATGTGTAAAATGGGAAAGAATGTTCCTTGTCTGGCTTTTCTTCCAAGGGGGTCACAGTAGGACACTCCTCTGGGCTCTGGCATCAGAGGGACTGGGTTTAAATCCTCTGATGCTTCCTAGCTGTGTGACCTAGGACCGGTCACCTCACTTCCCCTAGACCTCATTTTCCTCATCTGTAAAATGAGGAAGGTGGGCTCAATGGCCTTGAAGCCTTCCGCTTCTAGCTAGAGGATAATATGATTCCTTGAAGTCACGGGAATGAAAATGCTGGGTGACTTGGAAAGCACGGTAGAGATGCAGCGGCTCTCTGGGAGGAGGGGAGGAGGGAGGGCAGTGAGTGACAGAGTCCAGGGGCTAGGCGTCCCCTTTCTCTGTCAGGCCCCAGCCTCCCCCAAGCCCACATCCGCCCCTGGAGGCTGCCTGCAAACGCTCAGGGCCGCACCTCTCGCAGGGGTCCGTTCAGCTCTCCCAGGATGCTGTCCTCATCGAACATCTTGCCTTGATAGCGATGCTCATAGTAGTCATGGATCTTCTGCCGGAAGTCAGCGGGCAGCTTGTGGAAGGACATGTACTGCTCCACCTGCTTATACTGTGGGTCGGGGACAGACGGAGAGCGGTCAGGGCCTGCCTTTCCCTGGCCAGCCCCACCCCCACCCCTGGTGCCAGATGCTCCGCAAGCCAGCCCCTGGCACACCTCCCATCCTGCATCAGTACCATCCCGTGATAGCTAAGAGGGCCTTCAGACTGTTACCTCGCTGGATTCTGCCAACAGCCCTGTGAGGCAGGTGCTTTTATTACTGCCATTTTATAGACGAGAAGACCAAAGCTAATTCAAGGAGAAGGTATTCGGGGCCTTCTCAGCACCAGGCATAGGGGATACAAAGACAAAAAACCCCCCTGCCCTCGAGATGCTTATCGCTTACTGAAGAAGAAAGGGAACCTGACAGTACACACACAGACAAGTTAATACAAAATAGGGGGCGCTAGGGAACTTGTCTAGGGTCACACAGCTACTAAGTGTGTGGGGTGAGACTTGAACCCAGGTCTTCCTGCCTCTGAGGCCAGGTCTCTATCTGCTGCACCACTTCGCTGACCTAGGATTATTCCTGGGCACGCTAGGGCACCAGTCTCAACTCGAATCCAGAATTCCCCCTTTCATGCCTCTCGTGTGTCAGCCCAAGTAACAGTTGGGAAGAGCAAGAGGGGAGCAGGAGGGACCACATTCCCAAGGGCAATCATGGTGGAAAGTCCACTGGGTTTGCAGTCATTGTGCCAGTTTAAATCTCATGTTTCCCATTAGCTGTGTGACCTTGGGCAAGTAACCTAACCTCTCCTGGGCCTCAGTTTCCTCACCTGTAAAATAAGGTGTGGGGGGGGAGTGGGGAGGGAATGACCACATGGACCCTGCAGTCTTTTCTAGCTCTACATCCAGTCTCTCAGGGTCCATTACTCCACTGGACAAACTCATTGTGAAGGAGACCTTCCCATGGGATATTTCCAGGAATCTCCTTCCTGAAAAATGGTAGGAAAAACCAAGAGTCTAAGTCAGGACTAGGCCCACAGGGGGCCAGGCATCCACTTAAGGAGTTTCCAAATAAGAGCTCAAGCCTGGACATTACCGGAAACTGCCAAGATGGGCATCTATGTTGGCCTCCTGGAGGTGACAGGCAGTGCCAGGAGTCAGGGGGATGCCCACGCATATTTCCTGCTCCCTGCCCCTGGTGCCCAGTGCTGGCCCCAGCTGCAGCCTCCCTGAGGTCACCAAGAACCCGTGATGGCTGACCGGGTGGTGCCACCCCCTCATTGTTTGGGTGTGAGGGACCATAAGCTTCTGTTTGGGAGGTACCAGTGTGGGCAAGATGCCCAAACATGAGCTGGGAGGTATGATTATAGAAGGCATGAAGGCAAAGAGGTTCAGGCCAGAGCTCACCCCGACTGGCACCCCTGGGCACCAGTAGGAGGGAGCTCTTGCCTTGAGCTCCAGTGTGAGGGACAGCTGAGATATTCCTCATCCCTTGTCTCCACCCCCACCCTTGGAATATTGGTCCCAAGTGGACATCCTACATTGGCATGTCTGGGGCCAATCCCCTATCCCAGCCTGACCCCTGACTGAGAGCATGGATGATTCACTGTAGTCTCTCCCCGTAGCTGGGGACAGAGTGGGGAGCCTGTTGCAGTGAGAAGCTAGTGGGGGTGGAGCTGCCTGGAACATCAGACCATTCTCTTGACAATATTCAATGTTTTAATGACCAGAGTAATGTACTTGGAGTCAGGAACACCTCAGTTCCAAACCCGTCCCTTTCTGTGACTCAGTGTTCTCATCACTAAAATGGCAAGTACCTACTTCACAGAGTTGTTATGAAGTCCAGATGAGAGAATGTAGATAAAATGCTGTGTAGACATTAAAGCATTCTATAAATGCCTGGAGCTAACATCATTTCTGGTAGATTAGTTCCAAGTAGGGAATTGGGGGGGGGGAGGTGCTGTCCATGGTGCCAAATCCCAGGGATTAGCCCTGGGCCAGATTATTTCTCCCTCACTCCTCAGAAGGTGGCTTCTGACAGGGTCAGACTGTGGCTCCCTGACGGCAGGGGTCCTATCTCTACCACCCTTGCCACCCCCCACTCACCCAGACCCACCTTCTCCTGATACTGGCGCCGAGAGGAGTCCAGGGACTGGATGAGGGCCGTGGCGTGGCCAATGAACATGGCGTAGCAGGTGGCCCCCACGATCATGCTCAGCATTGTCAACCAGATGTCTGTCATGCTCTCGGGGGCCTGGCGCCCGTAACCGATGCAGAGCATGTGGCTCATGGCCTTGAACAGGGCGAAGGAGTAGAGCTCGCTCCAGGAGTGGTTCTAAAACAGGAGCAGGGGGAGAGCCCGTCATGGGGAGGCCGCCACAGCTGGACTCTAAGGCCATCCACCCTGAACCCCCCTTCTCGATCACCTGTCCTCCAATCCACATATTCAATCTCAGGCATAGACCAATTGCCACAGTGCTCTTCACCTTATCGACTGACCCTGGGCAAGTCCCTTCCCTTCTTTAGGCCTCAGTTTCCCCATCTGTCAAATGAGGACGTTATTCAGTTCTCTCTAAGGGCCCTCCCAGCTCTGACATCCTGTGTTCTAAGGGCCCTCCCAGCTCTGACATTCTGTGTTCTAAGGGCCTTCCTCACTTGCTCTGATATTCTGTGTTCCAAGGACCCCTTCCCACTCACAGCTCTGACATCCTGTGTTCTAAGGGCCCTCCTAGCTCTGACATTCTGTGTTCTAAGGGGCTTCCCCACTTGCTCTGATATTCTGTGTTCCAAGGACCCCTTCCCACTCACAGCTCTGACATCCTGTATTCAAGGGCCTTCACAGCTCTGACATCCTGTGTACTAAGGGCCCTCCCAGCTCTGACATTCTGTGTTCTAAGGGCCTTCACAGCTCTGACATCCTGTGTACTAAGGGCCCTCCCAGCTCTGACATTCTGTGTTCTAAGGGCCCCCAGCTCTGACATTCTATGTCCTAAGGTTCTTTTCAGCTCTGACATTTTGCTCTGTTCTATAAAACAGAAAGAGAGAGAAAAAACCATAAAGCTGGAGAAGCAGATGGAGGCAGGGACAGAGGCTGGAAGCTGAAGGAGGGCCAGTCAAGAAATTAAAGGATGCTGGAGGAAGAGAGACTGGGAGGGGGTCAAGGCCCATGAGGCCCCTCCCCAGCCCCCACAGCTGTGCTCCGGAGGAGCTTCCCCCTCCTGTCCTCATTTGCCCTTCTCCAGGGATGGGGGTGGGGAGAGGCCATTCAGGAAAACTGTCCCCTGTGTGTAGGGCTTGAGAACAATGGCTGCAGCTGGCGCCTGGTTCCCAGATCCTTCTCGGACACTCCTTCCTTTCCTCCCTTCCTCTGCATTCCTGGCCAGGCCGCCCACCCCCATTCCTCCCAGCTTGGAGCCTTTATGTGGGCCCTGCCCCCATATAACTCTGGGCTGAGTTAGTGAAGTGGGAGGGCTGGGGGATTGGGAAGGTCCACCTCAGGGATTGTGGGCTGGGATGTGCCAGGGACTGGAGGCCTGCAGGGCCAGGCTCAGGAATTGGGAAGGGTTTGGGGGCTTTGTTTTGGGGTTGGGCAGAGGAGCCTGGAGTGTCCAACCCAGGAATTGAAGATTGGAAGGTTTTTGTGACTTTGTTTTGCTTTGTTTTAGTTTTTTTTTTTGGGGGGGGTCAGGACCAGGGATTGGGAGGTTTGGGGAAGGACTTACCACCATGCCGTTGATGGAGACCCAGCAGTTCTTAGGGAAGTCTTGTAACATGGGCACCAGGAACTGAAGGCAGCCGTCCCAGTGGCACAGAAGCAACATCATGCTGATGAGGTTGAAAATGCGCATGACGGCACTGGCAAGGTCATAGGTCATGTGGAAGATCTAGGGGCAGGGGTTCAAGGGAACCAATGAAGGAGAGAGAAGGGATGCCCCACCCCTACCACACACACTTCCCCCTTTATCCCTAGTTTGCTCTTTCCAGAGTATGGTCTAGACAGAGCAGCAGGTGTCATTCAACACCCATTTTCCAGATGGGAAAACTGAGGGCACTTCCCCAAGCCACACACGGAGCCAGTGAAGCTAGAAATTAACTAGGGCTCCTCAAGTGCTGGGCCAGAAAGGGGAAAGGCAGGCCATCTATAGACACTCTTCCTCATCTACTCAGGGCCACCCCCTATATTCATGCAGAGGAAAAGACTCAGAGATAAATACAGACATGCAGAGAGAGAGACAGAGAGAAGGGAACAGCACCCAGAGAAAGACCCCCAGGGACAGAGATCCCTAGTGGAGACAGAGACCAACACAGACACCCAGAGGTGGACACAGGAGACCCAAAGGCCCAGACAGGAGGAGCAGCCTCCCTCCTATTCATTCTCCCATCCAGCCCAGCCCCCTGTGTCTCTCCAAACACACACACAGACTATTTACAGCTTGGTCACACCCCCTGGCTAGACACCCAACACCTACACACACAGAGGAAAAGCCCCACCTCAGACACACCAGGCTATTTAGAGCCATGACATACCCCCCCCCCCACATCCCCCTCCTTCGCCCTTTTCTATTCATCCAGAGACACACACAAACAGCTCCGAGGTGGGGTTAGAAGGGAAGGGCCAAAGTCAGGCTTGAGGGGACAGACTCTCAGGTGGGCTCAGTCTCCCAACAGAGAGCGCTCCCATCTTTGCAGACCCAGCTCCAATGCTACCTCTTTTAGAAGGTTTCACTGGACCCCTCCCTCTCCCACTGACCTAAGAGTAATCCTTTCCTCCAAGCCCTCAGATCTCCGAGTCTCTCCCACAGCTCTGCTCACAGCCTGACTACTGCTGCTTCGGTGGAAAGACCTGAATTTAGTCAGGAGACCTGAGTTCGGATCCTGGATTTAATTTCACCAAATGATTCTTCATCTGTAAAATGCTTACATTACCTGCCTCCCAGGGTGGTTGTGGGTCAAGACCTTTAGGACAGCTAAAGGGTTTAGAGGCTCAGTCTGGCCTGGAGATACAGGAGCTGCTGTTATTATTAATATCTATTAAACCATAAAATGGCATCAAAATGGGAGCAATGACATGATCATAATTATCATTATCTGTGGGATGTAGCTTATGTCCTCTGCTAGACTGTGTAGGGATAGGAACTTATCCATCTTTGTGAATGGCTTTGCTCAGCCCAGCTCAGCCCAGCACACAGTAAGATCTTAACAAATGTTTGAGAGAGAGAGAGCGTAGAGGTGGGGAGAGACGCAGAAGAAAGGGGGGGAGGGGACAGAATAAGAAAGAAGGGAAGAAAGGGATGGAGGAAAGGAAGAGGAATGAAGAGGGAGGGGAAGGAAGGAAGAAGGGGAGGAAGGGAAGAACAGAGGGATGGAGAAAAGGAAAGAAGAATGAAGACGGAGGGGAATGGGAGAAAGAAAAGAAGGAAGGAAGTAGGGGAGGGAGGGAAGAAAGCCATGGAAAACCAGAGAGATGGAGGAAGGCAGAAAGGAGTAGAGGGAGATGGGAACAGAAGTAAGGAAAGGAAGAAGGAGAGGGAGGAAAGAAGGAAAGTAAAGAGAAATAGAGGAATTAAGGAGTAGAGGAAAAGAAGAAAGGAAAGAAGGGAGGGAAGAAGTAAGCAAGCTATAGAAGGAAGAAGCAACAAAAATAAGAAAGGATATATGAAAGTGGAGAAGAAAGGAAGGGAGGTTGAGAAGGAAAGAATAAGGAAGAAAGTCTACCAAGGACCACAGGAAGGAGACAAGAAGGAAGGAAGGAAAGGAGGGAGAGGGAAGGCAATAGGAAGAAAGGAGTGTTATCATTCTGTTTTCTTCCTCTCTCCTCCAAGGACTAAGGAGCAGCTCCAACTCTCCAACGTGCTGAGGTACCAAACGCCCTCTGACCAAGCCACGGGCCTCACCTCTTCCCACTGGTGGATGTAGCGGATGAGGCGGGAGAGGCGTAGCAGGCGCAGGAGACTGAGGATCTTGGTAAATCGGACAATGCGTAAGGCGCGAGCAGTCTTGTAGACCTCTGAGTCAATGCCCTTCTCCACAATGAGGAAGATGTAATCCACAGGGATGGAGGACACGAAGTCCACCATGAACCACGTGCGCAGATATTTCTTCTTGATCTTCTCAGGGTCTAGAATGATCTCAGTGTTGTCCTCTATGACGATGCCAGTGCGGAAGTTCAGAACCAAGTCCATGAGGAAAAAGGTATCTGAGACCACATTGAACACTATCCACGGTGCTGTGGTCTCCTCTTTGAAGAAGGTGATACCCACGGGAATGATGATGAGGTTCCCCACCATGAAGAGCAGCATAGTGAAGTCCCAGTAGAACCTGTGGCCAGGGAAAGGGGCAGCTGGTCATAGCATTCAACTCCATCTCCAACCCCTTGTCTCTGAGAAGAAGCTTCTTCCACTCCCACCCAAACTCACAAAATATGACGGCTAGAAGAGCAGTGAGAGACAACCCTTATGGGGAAACTGAGGCACAGAGAGGGAGAGGAGATTGCCCAAAGTCCCAAAGTGAATAAGTGGAAGAACTAGGAACGGAACCCAGGTATCCCGACTGCTGGTCCAGAACTCTGGTTTGGGACACTTCACATTCTCCTTACAATTAGAGCTGGTCAAAAGAAGAATGGAGATGGAGATGAAGAGAAAGAGAGAGAGAGAGACAGACAGACAGACAGACAAGAGACAGAGACACAGAGTCAGAGACAGAGAGAGCTCACTCCTCATTACTGGAGGTATCCAAGTGGAGACCAGGTGAGTCTCCATAAGAAAGTCATAAAGGTGATTCCTGCACCAAGAAGACCACTGGGCCAGAGGACCACCAAAGTCCCTTCCAGCCTTTAGTCTAAACAGGGGTTGACCTCTTTTGTGTCATGGACCCCTTTGGGAGTCTAGGGAGGCCTATGGATCCCTTCTTGGACTAATATTTTTAAAGGCATAAAATAAAATACATAGGATTACAAAGGAAACCAATTATATTGAAATATTTATAAAATTTGTTTAAAGTTTGCAGACCCTAGGTTAAGAACCCCTCAGTAATATCCACCAGGAATTGAATTTCACAGGTAGGAAAGACCTTGGTGGTCAGTAGGTCCAACTTCCTCATTTTACAGATGGAGAAGCTCAACTGAGGTCCAGGGAAGGGGAGGGACCATTTTCCTGTGGCGTCCTAACCCATCTCCAATAGCTCCCCCCAGCTGGGTGGGAAGTTGGGAGGGCACAAGGCTAGAAGCCATGGCTGTCTTTCCAGTGGACTTCCAGTAGACTATAAGGCAACAGGATGGGATGTGGAAAGGTGGCAAGAAGTATCCAGGAGGGATTTGGAAGGGCCAAAAAAAGAGGCAAAAGATTTGGGTGGGTTTTTTTCCCAGAAAGTCAATCTTGGCATTCAATATTCCACCAAGTAGACTTCAGCATTTCTGTTGGGGTGGAAGCTAGAGGAAGAAGGGGATGAGCCCCTAATAATCCTGGGCCTTAGAGCCTAGCTTCTCAAGGACCCATTCTAGTCCCCATCCTCCCTGCCTCCCCATGACCTTTCCTAGGATGATGCAAGGTCACAGGCAGCCAGCAAAGGCAAAGAGGCCCCAGAAAGTCTCATGCTTTCCCTTAGCAAAGCTAAAAACCAGGAGGGGCACTCAGGGAGGTTTTTCAGCCCTGCTCCACTGTGCCAAGTTGAAACCTCAATGCTTCCACTGTGTGGATTCCTTAAAGGCAAACCTGCAAGGTGAGTCAGGAATCAGGCTTCCCCCTCCTCCTGCCCAAGGCCCTGGGGTCAGCTCCCAGTCACAGAGGGGACCTGGAATGCATCAAGTCCCCTTATCCCCCTCACTGATCCCCATCCCCCTCATTAAGCCCCCATCTTCCTCAATCTCCATTCCCATGCTTCAACACCAGCTCTCTCATTGATTTTTCCCATTTTTCCTGCCTTCAAGCCCAAATGACCCTACCCCCACTCCCACCTGGACCTAGGCATGAATGAGATTTCCCATGACAGAGAGCTCACTATTTCCCAAGGCAACCTTTTCCACTTTGGGACAATTCAGATTGTTAGAAAGTTTTTCCTTACGTGGAACCAAGATCTGATTCAGCGGATCCTGCCCAGTTCTTAATCTCTGGGGTCAAGCAGAAGTTTCTAGGAGGCAGCCTTTCTAATACCGAAAGACAACACTCATAGCCCTTTATCCCAAAATCTTCATGTGGCAGGGTCACTAGACCCCTGGTAGCCCCCACTTCCTAAAATATGACCCTAGAACTGGACACAATACACATCAGCCAGGGCCTGACCAGGACTGACACTTTCTCAGATCAAGGAGAATCCTGCCCCTAGACTTAACTCGGGATTGCTGCCCATCTTGCTCCCCTCCGTGACCCTATGGTACTAGGAGAGTTCCTGATGCTGCCATTGTATCAGGGAGGCCACTGGGGCTGCGGCCTCTTCCACTGCAATCCTAATGTGCTCCCTGCCTTAACTGGGCAAAGCCACTCCATCTTCTCAAGTGTCCTCAGCTGGCCCATAGCAGCTCTGGACCTGAGCCATGCCCAAGCAAGTACCCGTGTCACTGCCAGCCCGACCAGCCCCAGGCTGGAGATCCTGGCTCCAACCCTGAGATCTCATCTCTCCTACTGCTAAAGTTAGAGGCACATTGGCATGATAGGCAGTCAGAAAGCCTGGTTTCAAGTCTTGGCTTTGCCAGACTCACTGTGTGACCATAGGCAAGGTCCTTCCCATCTCTGGGTTTTAATTCCCCATTTGTAAGATGAAGAGGCAAGACTCTAAGGTCCTTTCCAGATCTGAGATCCTATAAGCATGGAGAAATGGAGGTGTACAGGAATGTGCTCTGGGCATTGGCACTGTTCTACTCTACTCTACACACACACACACACACACACACACACACACACACACAGAGCTTCCTGGAAATCCTCCCCAGGCAAGGGATGTGCTTCAGAACCCTTCTTAGCTCTAAGGACACAGTTCAGCCACCTAAAAGAGATCTTCCAAGCTCAAGGCCAAAGGTGAGAGAGGTCAGATAAGGACAATGACAAGAAAGGGGACAAGCTTCTGATCCCCAGTCAAGCATCAGGAAAGCCACAGCCTGGGCAGGAATCATTTGTGGTTAGGGATCTGGGATCAGAATTTAAAGATCAGAGGTCAAGAATTAAGATTCATAATTTGGGAGTTTCCCTCCATTTCCCACCTTCTTCACAGCAACAGCAAATTCCAAGGAATATCTTTGGTAAGATACCCTTGAGTCTGGGCAGAAAGTGAACAGTCCAGCCATGCTGGCATCCCTAGGATGGGAAGTCCCAGTGCTCCTGGTTCAGAATCACCACTGAAATGTGCTCCGTTCCTTCACCATATGGTGTCTTGGGAGAGCTTGGAACAATTGGGAGTCACATCATTGGCCTAGGAAGGCTTGTTCTGCCTCAGTGAGATGGACAACTTGCTGGCAGGTAAGACTTGGCCAGCCTTTCAGGCTATGAGCATCAAGAGATGGGAGAGGCGACACTTTGCCCAGGGACTCTTTCGGCCCTCTCACTCATTCAAGGAAGAAGGTGAAATTCAATTGAAGCAAACACCCACTTCCCCAGACCCATGAAGCAAGGATTCTTTCCCTCCCTTCAGACTCTGCCCCTACCCCCCCCCCGAGAATTATGGTTCTCTATAGCTTAAATCAGAATCCCACACCACCTGTTGCAAGTTAGTCCAGGAAGAGACAGGGTGGGGAATGTGGAAGAAGGCAGATTAAGCTTCATGCCTGTTAGGTATGGTTCACCCAATGATCTTGTAACCTTGAAAGGCTCCCTTAATCAATCTAGGCCTTGGTCTCCCTCATCTGAAAAATCGGTCTATCATTCCGGGCACAGGTAGGCCATAGATAAAAAATACAATTGTCCACAAGAAGGGAGTTTGGGGCTTTCAGGAGATAAGGGCCTCTGAAAACCCATGAGGTTGGGTTATTATCTGTAAAGCTACCTCTCCCTCCCTTGAACTGGAACATAAGGGATGAGGGGGAGAAGCATTAACTCCGTGATTCATGTCAGCTCTGTGGTTTATCCCAGAGATGATAATGCAGGAATTAATTTCCCAGGGATTTGTAAATAAGGTTTCTGGTTTGACCTCCAACCTTGTGATCGGCTGATCTCTACAGCCATCTGGGGAAAATTTAACCCACCCAAGATCAACTCAACCTTTGCCAACCAGCTGATCAGAGATGCTCAAGAAGGAACTAGAATCCCAAAGGGACTTGATCTGTCTAAAATATCCCTTCTCAAGCTAAGTCCCAATTGTCTAAAGTATTTGGACACAGGCTAAGTGACTGCATATGGGAGATGTCACAGAGAAGCTTCCTTCTAGGACTAGATCAGCAGCTCAAAACTTTAAGTGCCCAAAACAAAATATATAAAATTACCAAAAAACCCAAATCATATTGAAATGCAATTATTTAAATATTAAAAAAAAACAAATTCACAGACCCTGGGCTAAGAGTCCCTGGATAAGATAATGTCTGAGGTACTTTATGATTTTTATATTCTTACATTCTATATTATCAAGTCTTTCCATATTCTATAGCCTAAGGTATTTCTAATCCTAACATTCTTTCCTCAGTGTTCTAAATGCTTCCCTAGCCCTGACATTCTGTGTTCTAAAGGCCCTCCCAGCTATGATATCCTGGGTTCTAAGGGCCCTCCCCAGCTTTGATATTCTGTGTTCTAAAGGCCCTCTGAGCTCTTCTGTGTGTTATGAATCCTTTTCTCCAGCCAACTGGAGGAGGTGGGGTACTACCGAACACAGACTGATATCTAGGTAGACACAGGCCTGCCACCTATATGGATTTCTCCTCCAGCACTAGAGCCAGCAAATGCCCCACCCTACTCCATCAAAGTGCTACCCAAGAAGAGGGCCTAAGCCAAAGCAGGCCAGATCAAAGGTAGACATAAGGATCTTCCACTTCCAGAATCAAAGAGAGTTAGTTGGAGAAGCATGACCACAAAAATAACAATAACAACACATGTACAGCACACTTTACAGTCTACAAAGTCATTTCCAATCCTTCATCTCCTATAGCACACAAGAGATGGAGGTGATAAGAGCTATCTTTATTTTACAGAACAGGAAACTGAGGCCCAGAGAATGGAAGAGACTTGCTACATAGTGAAAGAGCCATAATTAGAACCCAAATCTCCTTATTCTTAACCCAGAGTTCTATCCCCTATATCCCAGTACCTAGGAAATCCAAACCCTTGGGCAGACTTTAATCTCCAGGACACCAGCCTCTTGCTCAGGGTTTCTCTTGCCTCTTCCCCTTTCACCCCATTCACTCATACCTAACTACTAGACAAGGGGTGTGTGTGTGTGTGTGTGTGTGTGTGTGTGTGTGTGTGTTTACACACAAGAGTAAATGCAATACCTGCATATAAAAAAGAAGTCATGGATAAATGGACTAGTGACAGGAAAAAATAGAGAAGATGCCAGGAGGCAGGATGCCTGAGTTTGGGGCCTGGCTCCACTGAGCTGAGGAACCTGGCAAAGTTCCTCATGAATACTTTGAAGAGTCAGTGGCTTCTCTCTCCTGGCCCTACTCACTGGCCCCACTCACTGGCCCTAGGAAGAAGCAGATTTGTGTCTAGGGGGTCCTTCCTCATTTACAATCAGAAACTTTCTTAGCATAGGAGTCAGGCATACATAAGTCTCATTGTGAAGGATTCAGGGTCTTCCCCACATCTTGATGTCCCCAGTGCCTGTCACCAAAAGATACAACCTGTTCCATACATCTGGGCTCCCTCTCTTACTCAGTATGTCAGAACCGGGAGGGATCTTAGAATACAGAGCACAGAATGTTAGAGTTGGACAGGATCTTACTCCAATCCCTTCCTTTTAGAAAGAGGGAAACTGAGGTCCATATGCAGGAAGAGACTTGCCCAAGGTCACATGAAAAGCTAGCAGTATAGTCAAAACACCGAAGTCCAGGTTTTCTGACACCAGATTCAATCCTTTATATTATACTAAACCCAGACCTCCTGTATCCCCAACCTCTTCTCTCCCCACCCCTGCTTCCTTTCCAAGATATTAATTTCATTAGTTTAGTTCATCTGGTTTAGTTCAGAGAGTTTGGAGCACCAAGGGGTGGGCAAGAAAGAGGGATTGTTCTTTGTGGACCATCTTCCCAGCTCAAAAGCATGGAGTTCTGAAGTCATTCAACTCTCCTGGATTAAGGAAGCCCACTGGTTGGGAGGGTCTAGACCAGGAGTGGGGAACCTGTGGCCTTGAGGCTACATGTGGCCCTCTAGTTCCTCAAGGGCAGCCCTTTGGCTGAATCCAAACGTCACAGAACAAATCCCGTTCATAAAAGGATTGGTCTTGAGGCTGCAGGTTCTCCACTCCTGGTTTAGATTGAAGGGTCTCCCCCCATCTGTAGAGAACACTTCTTCCCTATGGTGATTCCCTAGGGACTCCCCTAGGGCAAGTAGCCCTGCCCATAAGTAGTTACCGTAGGAACAGACCTCACCCTAAGGAACTATCCAGAGTCTGAAGTGGAACTGGGACCGTCTGGTCAGCCATTGGATGGCTGGAGACAGACACTTTGGGAAGGCGGTGGGGGACATTCTGCAAAGAGAAACAATAATTCCTCATCCCTCCCTGCTGGTGTCTTCCAGGAGTGCCAGGCATCTGTCAGTCATTCTCTTGACACCCCCAAATGGAAGCATTCCATCCATATTTTTTTCTTATTCATCTTGTAGAAAGGCAAACTGAGGTCCTGAGGAGAGTGGTTTTAATGGATTTCTACAGTAAAGAAAAAGGATGATTTGGCCCAGAACAAGTGTTCTATATTCCCTAGGTCCACATTTCCCTCACTACTCTCAAGAAGAGGTTTGTGTAGAGAGGACTGAGCAGCTGGGACATCCTTCGCCCCAGGAGAAGATCGAGCACATGCCCTTAGATTCAGAATATAACTAAAGAGATTGGGGAAGGGTCCCTAGGACACCTTCCTGAAGAAAGGGGAGCATAAAGAACTCACTTTCCCCAGGGCCATTGAGGGAATCTTCCATATTGTTTCTGAGACCCCTCCCCCCCAAAAAAAACCCTTCCTACACCTTTGGATCATAGGATTCAGAACTGTGGAGATAATCTAGTTTAATTCCTTCACTTTACAGATCTAGAAAGAAGGGACTTTCCCAAGGTCATACAGGTAGTAAGTAGCCAATCTAGGATTCAAACCCAGGTCTTTTGACTTCAAATCCTCTGTTCTTTTCACAATAACACAATGACTCTCTCCTCTTCCCAGTTCACCAGATTCAGTAGGATTGGGACATAACATGAGTGAAGTTCTGCCCCCCCAACAGAGTAGGGATGGAGGCTTAGAGGGACTGACAATAGAATGAGGCCCAAGCATTTCTGTTCCTCCTATTCTTGACCCCCGATCCTCAGATTCCCCTTAGACCAGCCTGTTTAGACTTATATAGGTGGGAGAGAAAGAAACACAAGGGGGAAGGAAGAGACAAGATCTAGGGGGATTTCAATCTGCCTTTAAGCAAAGAGCCGTAGGCAGAGGGAGAGGACAGGAATGGATAGAAGACAGTAAGCAGAGAGGACAGCAGGAGGCGGGGAGCTGCCCAAGGCCCAGCCCTGCGGTTGCACGAAGGTGGTTATTCGGAAGGGAGCCGGATATGATTGCTAAGGATCCTTAAGTGAAGTGGCCTCTGCTGCTGTCCTTGGTGCTGAAAGTCTCAGAGCCCAGAGACTCGGGAGAAGGCACCCGCAGGCTTTTATGTCTACATCTCACAGAACAAGAATCACACACTGCACGGACACATGGGCATATATTGACACCACACCACCACAGAAACAACACTGAGAGAGATGACACACATGCCACACAGATACGCAAACTCACAGCGAAACCACCCATTCACAGATACATACATCTCACCAAGACATACAATGTTACACATGGTCACACACCCAAAACAGAGACGGGGCCTTCCCCCTCTCAGATTCAGAACCAGACTGACAGGGTGGAGGGGAAGGGCAGCTAACAGACCCGCGTCCTTGAGCTCTGTTCCTCAACCCCTAACATTTCTCCTGAGGCTGGCGCACCCCTACTAAACCCCGACCTGGGACCCCTGGCGTCCAATCTCTCCCAGCTGCCCCCGCCCCTTCCCCGTTCTTCCTCAGTGCCCGCTTTGCCCTAGCTGTTCCTACCCAGGTCTGGGCTGGGCGGGTTCCTCCAGAAAGACCCGGGCCTTCCCAATTCCTTGACCTTCCCCTCTATTTGTCCTTTTCATCGACCTCTCCACCCCCTCCTCCTCTTCACATAGAGGCACTCCCCAGGTCTCTTGGGATCTCTCCTAGATCCCTGTATCTTGACGTGTTCGAACCCCTGCTATGCGGCTACCCGACCCCCGATTCCCAGACCCTTCCCCCTTCATATAGGATATGCCGCTCTTGACCTCCAGCCCCCAGACTCTACACAATGTGCCACTCTCCGACCCTCAATCACTAGACCTCCCCGCGCCCCAAACAATATGCCCCTCTCTGACTCCAGAGGTCAGCGCTCCTTCTGGCAGCCCCCCTTCCCCTCCTTCCTAGCCTCGGGCGCCCTGAAGTTCCTCTTCCAATCGCAGACCTCCCCCCCACTTCACCTCCAGAACCTCCTGCAGGGTCTTCCCCTTCCCACCTCCAGACGCCCCTTCCCTCCCCGCCCGTAGCGCCCCCTGCAGGCCTGCCCCTGCTACTGAGCTCTGCCCCGGAGAGCCGGGCGGCGGGCACCTGAAGTCGCTGTAGGGGTGGATGATCCAGGCCCCCGCCGACTTGACGCGCTCCTGCTCCCGCTCCACGGCCTTCTGGCTGCCGAACATGCGCAGCGAGAACTTGTTGACCCCGGGCTGGAGCATGGCCCCGAACTGGCGCTGCAGGAAGCTGGCCTGGCTGCCCCGCGCCTCCCCGCCAGGGCCGGCCTCGTCGCAGTCCCCGGGCCCCGCCTCGTCGCCCGCCTTGAGCGCGGGCCCCGGGGAGCCGGGGCCCGAGGCAGGGCCGGAACCGGGAGCGCACGAGAAGGAGACCTTGGGGCCCCGCGCGGCTGCTGCGGCGGCGGCGGCCGCATCCTCCGGGGGGCCCGGGCCAGGGCCGGGGCCGGGGCCCGGGCTGCACTGCGGAGGCTCCCCCCCGCGCCGGCACTCGCCGTTCGGGCTGCCCTTGGCCGCGGCCGGGCCGGGGGGCGGCTTCCCGGGCCGCGCTCCCAGGCTGCCCCGGGCCCGGCCGCCGGGCTCCGGTTCCGTTGCGGGCTCCGGACCCCCGGGACTGCCGGGACCCCCGGAGCCGCCCGGGCCCGGCTCGCGCTCCCGCTCCCGCTCAAGTTGCTGCTGCTGCTGCTGCGGCGGCGGCGGCGGCGGCGGCGGTTGCGGTTCCTGCGGCGGCGGCTCCGGCTTAGGCTGACACTGGGGCTGCTGCGGCGAAGGCTGCGGCGGGGGCGGCGGCTGCTGAGCCGGGGGCGGCCCCTGGCCTTCCCCGGGCCGCGCGCTGCCCGCCCGCCCGTCCATGGCCGCGCAGAGCTGGGCAGTGCGGAGTCCGCCCGGCCGCCGGGAGCCCGAGGCGGGGAGCCGACCGACAGACCCCCGGGAGGGAGGGGCAGGCACACGCGCCGCCGCGCCGGGAGGAGCCGTGGGAGGAGCTAAAGGCGCGGAGGGGCGGAGGGGGAGCCGGAGCGGGCTGGGCGGGGAGGGGGGTAGGTGGCATCTCAGAATGTCAGAACTGGGAGGGACCTCAGGACCCAGAGTGTCCGAGGAGAGAGGGACCTCGAACCTAGGCTTCAAGAGCTGGGGCGGGGGAGGGGAACCTTGGAACCTAGAAGCCAGAATGTCCGAGATGAGAGGGATCTAGAACATAGTATGGCAGAGCTGGGATGCTGTGAGGAGTACCTGGCAACATAGAGCTGGGAGGGAAGGGAAACCCTGGAACTCGGGAACCCAGAATGTCCGAGGTGAGAGGGACCTAGGACATATAATGTTGGATCTGGAAGGCACCTGGAATATAGGATGTTAGCTCTTGGAGGGCTGAGGGTTAGCTCTTGGAAAAGAATGTTGAACTGAAAAGTCCCTCAGAGGATCTCCAGTCTAATCCGCTCATTTAATAGGAAACAGGCCCAAGGGGGTGAAAAGACTCATCCAAGGTCCTTCAGATACTCGGGATTTGAACACAGGACCTCTAATTTTCCAGCCAGTGCTCTTTTCACTGTACTAGGCTGCTTAGAAGATTGACTATCAGAGCTCTAAGGGATCTTGAACATAGAATAGTCTTCTTAAGATCCAGATCCTACAAATTCCTGTTGGCTATCCCCAGGCTGGCTGTCTTCATCAAGCAGGCTGTTTGAGAGGTAGGCAAGGGACTGAACCCCACCCACCTACCCAAAAGGCTCAGCTGCTGGATCTCTTCATCCTTCAGAAGATAGGAGGAGAAAAGACAATCCATCTGGTCTCCCCAATCCCAGTGGCTGATGGCAGCTGAGGTCTCCTGGCCTGTCTTCCAACTGGCAGCTCCCAAAGAAACTGGGACAGCCAAAGCTAGGTTCCTTCCGTCTTCCCCATTCTTTTCCAGCATCAGGTGGATATAAGATGAGGGACAGGTGAGTTGGCCACTGCTTCCCTCAAACTGGGGATTGGGCTAGGAACCCCCTATTCTGTGATCATATGTAGAATGGAAACAGAGGCAGTATTAAGTAGAAAAGAAATTCTAGACAGACACAGGAGACCAAATCACCAAATATCAGAGCAGGAAGAGACCTCAGAGGCTTTCTGGTACAACCAGCTACCAAATCCTTTCCACCACGGCCTCAGCAAATGATTATTCAGCCTCTGCTTGAAGACTGCCAGTGAGGAAGACCACACTACAGCCCAAGGCAGCCCGCACCAATTTGGGCCCCTCTCATTGCTGGGAAGGCTTTCCTGTCAGCAAACCTAAATCTGCCTCTCTACAGCTTCTGTTGGTCTCCTCGTTTACTGTTTTAGCCCTCTGCAGATCAACAAAACAAAGCTAAACTCTCTTCTTCATTGAACGCTTTGAATACATGAAGACAGCTATCATTTACACACATACACACATTCGCATGAGCCCCACTCCCCCCTCCTCACCTCGACACCCCCCAAGTCTTCTTTAGGCCAGTGGTTCTCAAACTTTTTGTCTGAAGATCCCTTTGTACCCTTAAAATTACTGAGGCTCCCCAAAGACCTTTTGTTTATGTAGGTTATATTTATATTTACCATATGAGAAATCAAAACATAAAATTTTTTTAAAATTATTAATTAAAATAACAATAATAAACCCATCACATGCATTTTTGTGAAAAATAACTATGTTTTCCTAAACAAATTAGTGGGAAGAGTGAAATTGTTTTACTTTTTTTTTTCAAATCTCTTTAATGTCTGCTTTGATTGAAGACAGTTGGATTCTCCTATCTGCTTCTGCATTCAACCTGTTGTGATGTGTTGTTTTGGTTGAAGTATATAAAGAAAATCTGGCCTCCTACATATATGTAGTTGGGAAAGGGAGGAATATTTTAATAGACAAATGAATGACATCTTATTAATATTAAAATTTGACCTCACAGATTCCCTGAAAGGATCTTGGGAACCCCCAGAAAGCCACATAACACACTTTGAGAACCACTGCTGAACATTTCCATTTCCTTCAACCAATTCTTATATAACATTTTCTTTAGTTCTTTCACCATCCTGACCATACTTTTCTGGACACCTGCTTCATTTTGTCTCTGTCTTCTCCAAAACTGAACATGATCCTTCAGATGTGGTCTGATCAGGGCAGATTATCCAGGAATCCCCATGGTTCTGGACACCATCTTTCTCTTAATGCCACCTAGGATACTTTTCCTCATTGGATCTCGGATCTGGTTTCTGTGGATATTCCCATCAAAGATGAAGATCACACAATCCACCCATGCCTGCCCATCTTGTGCATGGCCTCCTGGGGAGCCACTATAGCCCTATGAGCAGCCTTTTTTTGGCTACATAGTGAACTTGCAGTCCATTAAAATCCCCAGATCTTTTTCAGAGGAACCATTGACTAACCATGATCTAGTCTCTTGAGCTCTTTTGGACTGTAACTTTCAACCAATGTGTTAGCTGTTCCTCCCAGCCTTGTGTCATCTGCACATCATGCCTTCTGGGACATTATTTAAGTCATTCATATAAATGCTGAACACCAGGGGAACAAGGACAGATTCTTGGGGAATTAATATACCAGAATCATTAATGACGGCTCTGTGTAAGGTCAATTCAAGAAGTTCTGACTTTACCTCACTCTACTATGGTTTAGGTCATGGTTCTTCATCATGTCAAAAAGGATAGCAGGAATGAATGAAAGAGTGAATGAATGAATGAAAAATTAATGAAGAGGACATCATTCACAAGAACAGCCTGAGAGATTTTGCCAAAGACCTTGCTGAAATCCAAATGTCCTATGTCAACAGAATTACTCATTCTAGTAATAACTGTCAAAAAAGGAAATGAGGTTAATTTGGTCTAATCTATATTCTACACCTGGATCAGCCAGTAAGTCTTGGTATGACTTTGAGAAGTCACAGGATCAGAGAACCTCAGAACTGGAAGGGTTTTTAGAGACCACCCAGAAACTGAACAAAAATCCCTTCTATGACTTCTCTGCCAAGTGGTCATCCTGCCATAGCTTGACAATGTCTGGTAAGAGGTCTCTGGAGCCATGCAGAACAAGTCTAATGCCCATTTCACATTGTTTCATTTGCTCAGTCATTTTCAGTTGCATGTGGCTCCTTTGGGGATTTTCTTGGCAGAGATACTGGAATGGTTTGCCATTTCCTTCTCCAGCTCATTTTACAGAAGAAGAAACTGAGACAAACAGGGTTAATGACTTGCCCAGGGTCACACAGCTGCTAAGTGTCTGAGGCTGGATTTGAACTCAGGAAGATGAGTCTTCCTGACTCCAGGCCTGGCACTCTGTGCATTATGGGGCCACCTAGCTGCCCCCTGTATCACTTTACAGCCCTTCAAATACTTGAAGGTATCTATTGTGGCTTCCTTTCTCCAGACTGAACAGAAATATTTCTTTCAACTCATCCTTGCCCAGCATTATCTCCTTTTACCAACCGAGTTGCCATCTTCGGAAGGCTTTCCAAAGTCCCTTCCCATGTTTTTTCAATTTCATGATCTTTAAAATGAGGGGCTGGACTAGATAACCATCAAAGTCCCTCCCAACTCTAATAACTTATGTTCTAATATGCCTTGAAATTCCACATTCTATGTTCCAAGGTCTTTTCCAGCTGACATTTTGTGTTTTGTTTTCTTCTAGCTTTGACCTAATATCCCTTCTACCTGTGCCAGCCAGACAGAGAGACAGATGGGGCTTTTGGACAGGCAGAGCCAGTCTGTCTGTACTGAAGCTGCCCCTGCTTGTAGTCCTACCAGAGAGCTTAGTGCCTGGGCTAGCATAGGTCTGACCTATGCTGGACATGCTTGGGCCTGCCCAGCTGAGAAGGAAGCTAAAGAGAGGTGGGGGCTGATCCTGTCTAAGAGCAGGCTCTGCCAACCTGGGACCCCCTAGGGGCTGGCTTAGTGTTCAGGCAGAGGGGGATCTATTTGAAAGTGCTTTGATCTGGGCCTTTGGAATATGTCACCCTGGGCAAGAAGCCAGGACCCTGGTGTCTGGAGCTGAGAAGTTGTGATTATGAGAAAGGCAGGAGAAAAGATGTACCAGTCTTTCCTCACAGGGGCTCGCTACATGCACATGGATGCCCTGCAGGGACTTGGGCTCATCTTCTCTTCAGTGTTTGGAGCTGGGCTCTGACTCTGAATACCAGGCTACGGGCTGAGTGACCCAATGCTCAGATTCCTGAAGTTTCCCCTACTGCCTGCCCCTGGGCACCAGCTCCATTGCCCCTCAGGGACCACCCATGAATAGGAGGAGACTTAGGACAATCAAAGGTCCAGGGTTCAAGATACTGTACCCTAAGGGAAGGGAACAGGTTTGATTTGTGACCTCCACCAGCAGTGATGGACTACCCCAACCTCTTATCCTCCTGACTAAGTGTATATACTTGTGAGAAGATTCATTGGTTGGTCTGGGACCTGACTGAAAGCTGAGCAGGTTCTCTCCCTCAGACCACTGCCTCCTCTTTTAATTTTTTAATTTTTTTTTTAATTTTTAGACAATTGGGGTTAAATGACTTGCCCAGGGTCACACAGCTAGTAAGTCACTGCCTCCTCTTAACTGTGGAATTTTTTTTCTTCTCCCTAACTCCTATTCTTATATTAGGGAACTTTGACATACATGTTGACTCTCCTTCAAATACTAACCATTCAGTTCCTCAAGCCACTCACTTCCCATAACCTACTCATTCACTTCACCTCAGTCAGTCACACATAAAGTGGTCATATCCTTGATCATCACTCACAGATGTACCCACCACCATGTTCCAGAGTTCCAAAGTCCCCTTATCTGACTATAATCTATTGGCTTTTCACATCTCCCTCTGCTTTTCCTTACAAAACCCTACTCTTTGTCTATACCCTGACCTACAATCCCTTGATCCCTGAATTCTCC